CAAAATATAAAGACCAGCTGACTCATGTCCTTTACCAATAGTCTGCTTCGTTAACAGATCCTGAAACACACAATATCCAGGAAAAAATGTTACAGAACAATTAAGAGTACGCGTGATTTTACTGATGGAAAGCAGATTAAATGCAAAATTAGGAAGACTTAAAACAGGCGATAATGGTATTGTAGAAGTTGGAACAACAGTACCAGATCCAAGAACGGGTGAGGTAGATCCATCAGCTAAAGTGACACTAGAAGTAGGTAAATATGAATGAAATGACGAGAATAGACTAGGATTACCGGTCATATGATCCGTGGCACCTGAGTCAATGACCCATTTCGAGGATGATGAAACAAGACATGTGTTTGAAATACCTGAATTCGCGGCTACCGAGATAGGGACAAATGAATGCTTTAGAGATTCTTGGTAGCAAATAAATTTGGCATACTCGTCTGAAGAGATGGCAATTGATCCATCCGATGTACCGGCAGCGGAAGCAACATGAGCAAGCTGATTTCCTTGATTTTTGAACAACAATTTTCTACATTCTTTAATCAAGTGTCCGGGTTTCTTGCAGTAATTGCATTTTACTTCTCTGCCAAACTGAGTGGTACAAGACATTTTTTTTTTTTTTTTTTTCAGTTGGCAGTGAAATGAAAATTTGGGATCCTAGGGTAATAGTCAAAACTTACGGACTCCAGGCTGGAATATCAGCTAGAATAGTTCTGAGCCTTTAATAATCAAGAAGTCGTAAACATCAGACACCACAGACCAGCACGACACCTTTAGGCAGTCTCATCCGTTCCTTGCTTGGAGAAAGAACCAAGAGAGAATTCCAAAATGGAAATAGAGTATACCTGAAACTACCGGGCACAGGTTGTAGAGGACCCACATGCGAGTCAGGAGATGATTACCGATCAAATCTCCCGCCAGAAACGAAGTCGCACGCGCCGGCGCGTGCAACGGCGGCGAGCACTCCGGAGGCGCGTGTAATTCACGTGCGTCGATTTGGAGCTGCGGATTTTGAAGTCTTTGTCGCCGACGGCATTCGCACCAGATTACTAGGTCCACGTTCACCGCACCAGATTTGGAAGGAGGCTAGGAGGGTTGCCGGCTTCTGAGATCGGAGGTTCTGGGAAAAATTCGGGGAAGAGTCTGGGAAAAGGTTCTGGGAGTCTGGACTGAAATCAATTTCTAGGAGAAAGAAAACAGTCTGAAAACTAAACTCAGATATGAAAAAAAAAACTAAGCTGAAAAGAATACAGAGGTTCTGTGAACTGAGATTCTGAACTAAACTGATATTCTGGAAACAAAGGAACCAGCCTGAAAACTAAATTGAAATGGGAGGTTCTGATACCATGTTGAAATATAAACCAGAATGATATTAAAGATGTAGAGAATGATTTTCTGTATTTTTTATTGAAGGGTAAGGCCCTATAAATATAGATTACAAAGGTAGAATATGCCTATAAAAGATGCTATACAATAATACTATATATGGTATATTCCTAATATATTCTAAAGCATATTCTAAAGTATATTCTAATATACTTTCACAATTCAGATAATTTTATGTGAAACATCAAATGATTCGGCTGCATAACCTGCATTTAAAAAAATGCATTTTTATTCAGTGGATTTCACAGAAGTAACATTTTTTTACCTGTGCTATTTACAAATTGTTAGCTTGTTTTCGTTTGTGCCTGGTCAGTTTGGTTGTTTAAGCTATGTTTACTTGTGATGCAAATTATAAATCTCTTAGAACTGTATGTGATGGCATATTTTGGGAGTTGCAACTTTTACTTATATGCTGATGTCATCATGTGGTCATGTTGTAAGTTCTCAACCATGCTCCTAAACACGCCATACATCATGGAAGCCCTCTCAGTGAATACTTCCTAAGACTCTTTATGCACTTATTACTATAATCTCGTTCCATTTCAGGAAGCTGGTCCAGAGGGTAGCAAATTTCAGCAGCATTTTGAGGATTTACTGAAGAACAACACTGCTCTATTTGTGGTAAGAGTGTAGTGGAATAAATTTATGTCATTAACCTGAAACAAGTACAAGACAATTTTCCTCTAAGATACCATAGAAACAAATTTTCGCTAAAGTAATGGTATTTATTTACAACAAACAGAGGATTCCAAGCATATACATTTAGAAGTGAAAAATTGATTAGGCCCTTGCCCCTCTTTTCCTATCAAGGCCATCCTCAGCTCTCATGTTGTCCTTCCCCCCTTTATCCCTTTATCACTTCCTCTGAGCCAAATTCAACCACCACTTTCTCATTTGAGCCACTTTTAGATGTGACATCATACATAGTTTTAGACCTGCTTCTTCTTTGACCACAATGTACTGCTTGCATATGGTTTAACTACTGGAAGTATATTCAGTACAACTCGCCTCAAACATGCTTTATGCGTTGATAACTTCAAGTGTGTTACTTTTGCAGTGTCAAAAGTGGCTATACAACCCAATATTGCAACATTTCCTAATGTTTTCTTTTACCTATTAGTATGATTATCAAAACATGAACTTATAGAAAATCTCTTGAGGCCATCCAGTGAAATCCTACTTTTTCATCCTTTTCTGTCATGCATCATGTGTTCTCATTGAACCCCAACACTCTTATGTCTCTTTTAAGAATATTTGAAACTTTCTCAATCAAAATCACTTTTAGCCTGCCCCTACTTTTCCATTGAGAAAGTTCCACAGTTTCAACTTTCAACCATTTCATTTCAGCCAAATGACCCTTACCTAACGGGCCCAGTTTGCGAGGCATGTTCTTTATAAGATGCAAAATAATTTTTAGACAGCTTTATCTATAGCTCAGGCGATGCGCGGTCAAAATAACTAGTTCTCAACTAATCATTGCTCTCCTATTTTTATTTGCTTACAGGAAGAGATACTGCTGGAGCACTTCAGTGATCTTATTAAGTTTGTTAAGACAAGAGGATGTAAGTATTTTTCAAAAAGATGCTGTTGCCCTTGAATCATCTTAAATTTATTTGACTGGGCTGGGGACTCATCATGCTCAATATTATTCACTCAGCCGAGGAACCAAGTTCAGGATCTCAAAGGCCCCCTGCCATAACAGCCTCTGAGGTCGAACCTATAGTCAAAGACTTTGCAAGCCGATGGAAGGGTGCAATAGAGCTGATGCACAATGACGTAATCACTTCTTTTAGCAACTTCCTCTGTGGCATGGACATTCTTAGGGCGGCCTTAACCCAGCTGCTTCTTTATTACACGAGGCTTTCGGACTCTATGAAGCGAATTGCAGGTGGCACTGCTCTGAATAAGGATCTCGTTTCCATATCTTCAATCATGTATGAGATCAGAAAATTTTCCCGGACCTTTTAATCTTGCTGCTTTCAGACAGCTGTGCCCTTTTACGGTCAGAGGTCTGATGAATATATTACAGAAAGGTTAAATTGTACGAAGTATATTTTGCTTAAATAAGTGTGTGAAACTTTTCCACATATATCCATTACTTCAATTTGCTTTCAGTGATTTTTACTAAAAAAATAACTAAAATGTGTACGTTACATTGTCATCATTTTAACTAGTTAAAAATGATCCCGTATAAATGCAATAGTGCTCAGTTACGAAGTGATTGAGAATTTACCAACATTAAAGTTATGTTTTTCTTAAAATATTGGAAAACAGAAATTAAGTATGCAAGTTTCCCCTTTCAGAAAACTAGAAACACTTCTAATGTTTTTTATAATAGAATACGAAGTATAATTTTCCGAAGTCAGGCAAGCAATTCATTTAGATAGCAATTAGGTTTAGGGGTGCAATCAAAGTTGGGCATGGAAAGGGTAGGAATTTAGAGGTGGGTACCGCTAAATTTTGAACAGGTCAGACTTCAGATAATATTTTGAAAAGAATTAATCAATTTTTTTACCTAATAAATGAATAAATCTTTCATGAAGCATCAAGGTTTTCGGGTTTTCAATCACATTTAAGAAAGATGTTAGTATTATGGATAAGTTGGCGTTCGATCTAACCTTTTTCTGTCAATAAAACTCCCCTCACCTACAAAAATCAGTATACAAATAATGAAGCTTGATTTGTTTCACACCCGAACATAAAAGCAATACTCCGTAGTCCGTATCGTACTACTCCATAACTCCAATTGTAATATACATCACTCTATGATGTTCTAAAAAAAAGATATAAATGATGCTTTCACTAATTCATGAATAAACCAACTGATGCATTATTAAATTCTATAGAACCTGCCAAAGTAATTAAAATAGTAAGTACTACGGAGTAATAATATGTTTTTTTAATAAAATTGATTTGCGAATGTAGATTTTTCTACTTCTCTAGCTATGTATATTTTATAACTTTCTCCTCGTGAGACAGAATAAATAAAACAGAGACATCTTTCTCTATTTCTTTCAATCTAGTAATCTACGGTTAGCAAGAAAATTTTGACTTCTTTCTATATACCAAGTAGTTGTTTCGCTTGTTTGTGCATAGTAGTGACGCTTTCACTTTTCTAGTTATACCTCATATGTTTTGCACAATAATTTGATCCGTTATAACTTATAAGTAATCCACTTATAGTAATACAAGTTTCTCAACTTCTCCACAAGAAAAAAATTAGTTTTTGTAGAAACCAAATTTTGTAATATTCCGTGTGTTTTGTCAATTTATCCACTTCATCCACAATTAATCAATACACAATTACATCAATATTAGTAGATTTAGCACATTCAATCAATTTTAGTGTTATCCGATATGCACAAACATTACCTATAAAATTATAAAATGTTATTTCTCATTTTAAAAAATTCAAATAAATCAAGTATTGTATACAAAAAAAGTACACAATTTTAGTGTATAAATAGGGACACTGCAGGTTTAGACAAAATAAATTATTCCTGTTGTTTCTTTTATATGTCGTCCCAAAATAAGTGTCAGATTTTTTTCTTTGGAAAGAAATATGTGATTCACATAAAATGTGCAAATTTTAAACAAGACACATAAAATGGAACCAAGGTAGTAAATAAATTATGACGTCAAGTTTCATCTAATTATCCACTGTGCAACTTTTGGCATTAAAAATGCATGTAGCTATCAAGCTATGCTATAAATACTATATAATCACTCAATATCCTCATTGTGAAAGTAAAATATAAAATTCTGACGTGTGTAACACTGCACTATCCTACAGATTACAAAACAAATGACAAATCAAATTTAGTAAACCCAAATCATTGTAGGATCTTGAAAGGTGGAATGTAAAGTCGTCTTTAGGGACAGCCGGACAGGCACAACCGCACAAAAGCATTGGTGTAGGAGGGGCCTCAGAGGGTTACTGTGATAGGCGCACAAAGTATTTGAGAATTAAATATATAAATGAGATATAAATGCACATAGACTTTATCTAGCAAACATAGACATTATCTATCAACTTTATGTTAATTGTTAGCTTTTACATTCAACAATGGATAAAGTCCTAGTTCTTTTTGTTTTCAAATCACTACACAAAATATCTTAGTTTTTATTTTGGGGTAGTAGGATGGCACAAAGCACTTAATGAACTTGCCATGTGTCAAAGTATTATCACTCCCTCCATTCCAAAATGAGGTTTCTGGTTTTGACTTAGCATGACTCCTACCAGCTAACTCTCCCCAGGTCCAGGGGTCTTAGCAACTTCCACAAAAACCATTCTTCCATCAATAATCTGTACATGCTCAACAAATCAGAGGTGACATACCAGGTACAAATCAGATAGGCCTAATAGAAGCAATACTACAACATTACAAGAAGTAGCAATCATGCTCTTGAAATAATTTAGTACTCCCTCCGGTTTTATTTAATCTTCACACTTTGACTTCACACAAAATAAGAAAAGAAATTTGACTTTACTATAGAGTACACTGTTGAGGCACTGTTTGACATTGTTTGGCACTGTAGAGACACTGTTTGGCACTGTTGATACACTGTTTGGCACTGTTTTGATGTATATTTCTTTGCCAAAAGGAAATAAGGAAGTGTGAAGTTTATTTTAGACCGTCCCAAAAAGGAAAGTGTGAAGTTTATTAAAAACCGGAGGGAGTATGTAATATGATATAAATTTGTTTGAAAAAAGGTGAGATCACTATATGGATTAGATTATCCAATAGAGATGGGGGGATAATCATCCAATAGAAGAACCCCAGTATGTCAGCAGATAGTCCGTGAGGGAAAACTTTACAAACAACCAGATAGTGAAATTCCTTGTACATTTTGAGTTACCAACATTAAGATAAGATAAATGACCAATTATAACGAAACAACTTGAGAAGAACAAGCACAGTAGGTATGCTACAGGAACGCAATATAGCAAGACATGAAAAAGGACATGGACACAGTACAATGAAAAAAAAAATGAAGTGTCATTTATAGGTTTTCGGAATTCAAACATGATTTAAGTTTAAGGTTATAAACTTAACAACTATACAAGTATGGTAGATGGAAATACAATTGTTCCCCAAATTCTCAGTGCACAACTAAAGAAGTAAAGATTTCAGATTAAAACATTGGGTTACACTCTCTAATATATTGTGCCCAAGACTTTGTAAATGCCAAATTTAAGATCAAAATATTTCAGTCTTGCCAACTTTGTTTCCGGTCAATGCCACAACACTTGGCATATCAAATACGGCTATAGGAATCTGCCACATGTTAGACACGTCCAATTTAGGGATGTCAAAAAAACCCGACCCGCAATGACCCGCCCTGGCCCGAGACATTTGGGGCCGGTCCGGCCCGCCCCGTCTTGCAAATGGGGCGGGTCCGCCCCGCCCATACAATGAGGCGGGTCCGGGTCTTAGTATTGACCCGTGCTGCCCCGCCCCGACCCGCCCCGCTCAATATAAAAGTGTACATACTTTTTCTTAAATTATACTACAAATATACTTCAACATTCATATGTGTGTACAATAAATAGTAAATTCTTTGATCTTATAATATATTAATATATATATATATATATATATATATATATATATTAGAATTAGAATGATATGAATGGCGGATTATCAATGTATGCGTTATATATAGCATTTTAATACATATATTCAATTATTAATATAATTAAATAGATTAACTATTCAAGTCTGAGTAATTTTTCCTCAATTTTTGAAATTTTTAGCATATCATGAATTTGATTTAATATATTAATTTTTAATTATTATTCAGAGATAAACTTTATGTAGATTCAATTGGTAACAATTTCCCACAAATAGAAATACAGATTAGCTAATTAGGTTATGGCGGGGCGTGGCGGACCCGCCCCGCCCCGCATGTGGCGGGTCACGGGTCAACAAGTTTGGACCCGTGCAGGTCACAGGGCGGGGCGGACCCGCCCCGCCAAGTCATGGGGCGGGTCCGGGTCTTGCAGTACCCGCCCCGACCCATTGCCATGCCTAGTCCAATTGTGATTTGTAAAGCATGTAGTTTCTCAAAATTTGAAGAGGTTCAATGGGTTGGGATAATGGGCCGGGTCCAGTATTGTCGGCCCGTTATACCCAAGCCTAGGCCTCACCAGGACTGCGACACGGCCTAACTAGCAGAAATTGGCTCGGGAGTATTTATTTATTTATTGAGCCGGCTGGTCCGTTAGCATTGGTATTAGTTATTAAGTTGGGCCAAACCCACGTAGCATTAGTCATTGGCAGTGGCGGACCCAGAAACTCAGAATCACGGGGTCCCTAACGTGATGAAATAAGATGATATAAAGCAAAAAAATTACATATAAAAGTCATTTTACAATTCTACAAAAGTACCTCATAGGTTTCATTTGTTGGAAATATTATATAATATATAGGTCCACCAACGTGTACATGAAACCTATTTTTTTTATTCCATGTTGAAAATCATATTCCCAAAAAATGATTACCACTAACTTTCCACTCATTCGGTCATTATTATACAAATAACACGGTAAACAAAATGCAGCATCTTTGACAATACTGTATTCCAACCATTTATGCAAATCAAACCAACTTGAAACAAATCTACGTTTGTTGCCGTCAATTACTTTAATAGGGAAATCATGATCCCAAAGTTGAAACGATCATATTTTTATAGTAACTACTGCGTACCCTCTCTTGAACATTAGGATGAAATCAGTATGTTGTTCATGTAGATTATACACCACATTAATTTCACTTTCATCAAGTACTAGATATTCTTTATTTAATAAAGACGAATCATTTGAATGAATATCTTAACTATTCTCCGTACTTCGAATTTGTTAAAATTTTGGTACACTACCGAAATACCTTTTCATCCTTAATCGTAAAATTTCCAAAAAAAACAAAAAAAAAACATTCATAAATACATAAATTTGTTAATTTAATCTTACAATTCAAAGAAATTTTATAATTAATTCAAAAAAATGAATTAATAAGAAGTGGATGAGATCTGAGGGGAGATACGTGGATGACATGTAACACTTGAGATTTAATATAAATGGATTAATAATTTAATAGTACTACTCATACCAACAAGATGCATCTCCTTTTAAGGGAGCTCATTAGCTAAGAACTCCAAAGTTAAGCGTGCTTGCATGGGAGTAGTCTTGGGATGGGTGACCCCCTGGGAAGTTTCTCAGGGCGCGCACGAGTGAGGACAAAGTGCGCGGAAAAGGCTAGTGACGGTTTGTGGGGACAGTACTAGAGGTCCGGAGTAACTACCCCGGGTCCTGCGTGGCCGGGGTGTTACATGGCAATAAATTTGTTGTGGTAAAGGATCGTTGGAAGGGGTTTAAAAAAGAAATAATGACAGGACTAATACCTATGACTTTCTAATTGACAAACATAAGACCTATTCTCAATATGGACAACAAAGAGACTCAATTTTAACGGGTGACTAATTTACCCTGCACTGCTTTGCTTCTTGTTCGTTGTCTGCTTATCTCTTCCGGCGCTGCTTCAATTCCTCCCTGTCTTCTGTATCGGACCGCACATCAGATCCTTCACGCACAACAAATCCTTCGCCCCAGGAGCACAACATCACCTCCGCCTTCAACCTCCACAACAAATCTTCTCCCCTGAGTTTCTGCACAACGGTGGCGGCCGTTTGACCTCCGTCATCCGCCGACATGCCGAGTCCGCCCGTGTCTCACTTTCTTGTTCTTACGGCCGTTTGACCTCCGTCATCCGTCGACATGCCGAGTCCACCCGTGTCTCACTTTCTTTTCTGTTCTTACGCCGCCTCATCTCCAGGATAGGGATTCACGTCGATGTGAGGTTTCAGATCCCAATGATTCGGTTGATTTGGGCGGCAGTGCGGTCGATTTGGGTGGCGGTGCGGTTGATTTGGGCAGTGGTGCGGTTGATTTGGGCGGCGACGTGGTTGATTTAGGTGGCGGCTATGGTGTGAGGTTGGAAGGGGTTGGGGAAGGGGATGTTGGAGGCTTACGTAGGGTGCTTGAGGGGGGTTGGGGGCCACTGGTTTCTTGGGTAGGGGTGCTGGATGGGGGCTCTTGGGTGCAGGGGTTGAAGGTTGAAGGGAGCATGGGGAAGATGCTGGAGGGCTAAAGGGGTTTGGGTGAGGGTGGTGGAAGGGGGATGTGGGTTGCTGGAGGCTGGGGAGGGTGTTGAAGGGGGTTGGTGGGGGGCTGTGGAGGGAGCTGGTTGGTGATGGGTGGCGGCTGTCACCGCCAGGTGGTGGCTGTCACCGCCGGGGTGGCGGTGGAGATCCCCGTCAAACAGCAACGGTGGTCAATGCGGTAGTCGAGGGAGGAGGTGGTGGTCGGGACAACGGTGGTCGGGGCGGCCGTGTAGGTGTTGAATTGATCGTGGTCATTAACTGGGCTGGGCACTGGTCGAATTGGTTACCTGGATTGGTCATGACTCATGATCGAATTTGTCACAGTCGGATTGGTCACTGTTGAATTGGTCAAGGTTGGATTTGTCACGATCTGATTGGTCACAGTTGGATTGGTCACAGTCGAATTGGTCACGATCGAATTGGTCACAGTCGGATTGGTCCCGATCAGTTTGGTCACGATTAGTTTGGTCACGATCAGATTGGTCACGGTCAGTTTGGTCACAATCGGATTGGTCACGGTCAGTTTGGTCACGGTCGGATATATCATGATCGAATTGGTCACGATTGAATTGGTCATTAGTCAGGTTGGTCATTAGCTGAATTAGTCACTGTTCAGGTTTGTTATGGTCAATTGTAGTAATTTAACGGATCAAGAATGATTATCAAGAATGATTAATAAATATTAAATTGATAAATACAATTATGTAAATATACAGCCTTGCATCTTCCCTATGCTAATAATGGAGCTGTTGGGGGATAGGTGACATTTCCATCTCATTTTTTTAAATGATGCAACTCGGTGGTCTCTTTTTGGGGAAGGAGTAAAAGAAGTTTTATTTTTGTCCAAATCCTTTTAATTAGTAATATTGATGAACTAACCCCTTTAAAAAATGGACCAAAAAACCATCATTTGGAGTTTTAAAATAACAAGTTAAAGAAGCACCAAAAAGAAAAATTATCCACGTGAGGATTCGAACCTTGCACCTCACGAATAGCAGGAGTTAAAACACACGCATGCTACCATTACTCCGCTGCATCCATTTGGTTTTTAAGTTGCACATCTTTTATATATACATAAATATATACAGGTAAATTTTGTAAAATATATATATAATATATAGGTAAATTTTTCAAAGACCACGG